CAAGTACGGTGATTTTTACCTGGTCAATGCTACAAGCAGACTTTAATGGAGTAATGCAAATGCTAAGAAATGTGATGTACATCAGAATTTTTAACAATACCTTTGTATATGTTGTGGCTGCTTCCACCTGGTACTCAAGGGCCAGGGCAGGGGTGAAATCTGGCATGGGAGGTAAATATGTGATTACCACACAGCATTCTGTGGACAACATCCAGGTGGATGCTGTCCAGGCATCCACCTGGATGTGTTCGCAGATATACATACATACAATAAACGTATGCTGTACATGATTTTAAAAGTCCAATCGTGGCAAGTGAGCATATTTGTTTAATCACTGTTACTATAAACTGCAAAACTTACAATCCATGCCTCTCCACCAAGTCAGAGACGCAAACTTTGACGAGTTTCAGCCTGTTTTTTTCTGTAGCAATGCCCTGAGTTTGGAGTTCCTCAAATATTTCAGGAACTTTCTTTTCGAGGAGAGGCCTCAATCCATCTTGTACATCCGACTCCTTTTTAGGCTGAAAAGAGAACTAAGAGCAAAGCCAAACAAAGCAGAAATTTAGACTAATTTCCATGAGATTCTTTGGAACAAAATTTGACAAGATGTACACATAACCCCAAACAATATAAATGAAAATGTACTTGAGTTAGACAGACTTCTCTTGCAACAGGTTGAAAATGGGCACTTGTAATCTGTCAAGGTACACCACTATCAAGATCAGTAAACTCTTGGAAATCTGTGTTAAATTTTAAAATCCTTTCAAGGACAAATCCCAATTCGCTCATCTTTTCCAGAAGTTGGTTTGTGCTTTGGACACTGTCAATTTTTATTTTCAATTCTTTACAATCTATCATCATTGATTTTATATTCATGTGCAGAAAGGTCCTTCGCCCTATATAACGGCAGGGAAAGCCCTGCTACAAAGTCAACTGTGATTAAAGAACTTGTTCTAGTCCCTGTTCAAGCCAATTATAAACAGCTAGCTAATATTAGTTCCATGTGGAACTAATGGCACACTTAGTTTATTTAACAAATCAAACACAGTTAACCCAAACTTTACATTTAATAACATTACCGCTTAACCACATAAATATACTTACTTTTGCTCTGCCCCATCGCTAGCACCTGTCTGCCCTAAGCGCATATAACTCTCTCTATCGTACACCTCAACACGTACACACTGACGTTAACGTTACGCCACTTCTGACGGAACAATGAATTAAATATAACAACGATAGGTAGCTAGTGTTATGTTCAAAATTTCTCAAACAAAAGGCAAAGGGAAAAGCCCCCCTCCTTGTTCAGAGGAGAAGAAGCATGCAGAGGAGAAGAGAAAAGCCCCCCCGCTCTCTTTCTTCCATCATTAAGCTGGGCTGAATCATCTGGTTGAAGTTTAAATCAAAAGGAATTTAATATACTAACAAAAGCAAATGCAGTTACAAACTGAATTAAACTATCAATAGTAATATTTCATGAAATTTTCTTCAAAAAAGTGGATTTTGTGGAAGTAAACATATTTTCAAAGATTTTCTTCAAAAAAGTGTCTCAGGACAGTTGATTTCACTGTTTCGTGTTTTCATTAGAATCTTGATGCTTACACACCGTTACTGGTTTAAGGTACATTCTTAGCCTTTTATGCTCTTAAAAGAATTTCCAGGCCTGGAAGAGGCCAAAGGTGGATTTTGCAAAAGTAAAGTTTCAAAGATTTTCTTCAAAAAAGTGTCTGACAGTTGATTTCACAGTATCATGTCATTCGATTCTAATGCTCATTAGACGACCAAGTGTTGGGCAAAGTTGAAAATTGGACTCAGAAGATGACCTTACTCCAGTCCTCTATGGTCCAATCCTTCTGGTCTTTTGCAAACCTCAGCCTAGCTCTCTATTTTCTAGCTTTGCGCGACTTCAGAAGCCGGTTTCCAACAGTCTTCACCATGCACATCACCCCAGCTGCCATTTGCCATTATTTTTGGAGGTCGCTTGATTTTATCCTTCAGTTGTTGAATGAGTCGACTGTCATCCCGGTCAGTGGAGACTCGTTTTCGTCCGTCATGTCTGCTGCTTGACAGTGTTCTTATGAACAAGGTCTTTGACAATTTAAGGATGGAAGCAACCCAATGCTCACTTTATCCCTCTGCTAGTAAAACCATAATTTAACTTTTTAACCCTTTTGGGCAATTGTCACGTTTTTTTTTCCATTCCATTCATTTTTGAGGTACTACTAGCAGTTTCTGCCATCCAGCTGGGCTATTGCAAGAGGATAGTGATGACCACGGCACTGGTTTTTATACTTTTCTTCATTAAATAAGATTTGGATCAGGGGATCACCCAATTAAGTAGAATCAGGTGTCCTGTATTTGAATTCAACACACAGTATGGCTTCCGTCTCAATTTTTTCCAGAGCTGTATATCGCAAGGCCTTAGGGCAGTAGCAGCCACACTGACAACTTTCTAGTTATATATGCACCTCCCTAAACTTAAATTATCCTTTAACCCTTTGATTCAACTATGGACAAACAAGTGACAAATCACAACAGGGCACTAATGAGGCCTGCACACTGTTACGCCAAAATTGTTTATTTACTCTTTAAAAGGCATTGTTTAAATCTACAAGATCAGAAAAAAGGCATTTCCTATGGGTGGAGCAACAAACTCAAATCCTATTAACCTTCTGATTTGCAAAAAGAAAAATGGTTCAGTAAACAGAAACGCCAGGAAATCCAGATTTCTTTTTTTTTTATTAAAACATGGTCATTTGATGCCTTAAGAGCAACAAGCAGTGTCTTAATATATTCACAGACGATGCCACAAAGCCTTAAATACGAATGTAGGCAGCCAAAAGAACCAAAATACTTGAATCTTCAACCAGGTCTATACACATGACAATTGTTTGTGAGAGAGAATATATACACCATATTAATGATGGACTATCTAAACAGATAATTTCCTGTAGATTCCTTCAGGACATTATTTACCAAAATGTATGAGACCAGTTGTGTTTAGAGCCTCGATCATGTTGAGCAGACAGGGATGCACCCAGTCAGGTCTCAGCGGGTGGACTGATCCTCCGGACTGGCAGGAATACACTGAACTAGAAAACACAGATCAAACATCACCAGACAGCACACAGACCAAGTTTAGCATAATAGACATATTTAAAGAAATGTGTTTCAGGTCTTCAGTCAGGTTATAGTAAATGTTTTTACTTAAACCTGTGCCAAAAGTCCTGAGGTTTCTCTCCCAATGTAAAGATTCCACAGCAGAGAGTAGGCCTCTGCCATGGCAGTACACAATTGGGTTTACATCTACATGCTAGAAACATAATAGTGAGCATCCCTTTTGTTTCCAGGCAGACAGGATGTCATACATACCCAGAGCAGTGTCAGTTCACTGCAGATTGTCCTGCTGCCCCCTGCCCCAAATGCTCCTGTAAAGAAATAAAGAGCAGTCAGTAAACCGAAAACTACACAATCACTGCTGACAATTACTAGCTGCTATGCTCAGTGTTTATGGTTCACCATGGTGTTGTCAGCATGATGTGTTACATTTTTAGTCATCACTGCATTAACATCACTGTTCCATTAGTACAACTGGTTCCTTCACACTCACCATCAGTCGGCCTGCAGCAGGACTTTCAGTCCCACGCTGCTCTGCCTGCAACACAAGCATGAACAAAGAAAAGTTTGGTTTAGTCACGTTTACCAGGTACCATTTGTCAGATTTTTGTTGAAGCAATTTGAGCTGACCACAGCTCCTTGCTATCCAAACGAATTTTAAAACCAAAAAACTGGGACACATTCAGTTGCAGTAAAACCTTCAGGCTATTTTTCCATTAAAGAATATTAGCTTGCCTGTAAATGCATTCTTTAGCTTCCATTGTGGCCTGAACGTACATACACCATGAATACAAATGTTAATGGTGGTTAAGAGTCCACCGTTAACATTCTTGAGAAATATAGATAAGTAACTGCATTAGTATTATTTAAAAAAAGTTTTTCATTATGCTTGGTACGCTCATCTGTATGTAGGTGATAAATTCAGTCATGTTAAACTTATGGATAATAATCTTAAAATCACACAACATTGGACATTTTCCTAAACCTACAAGACAAACTATATTTCAACCTTCAGTAGTAACAGGCAATAGAATAAAAGTTAAGGTTTATCTCAGGTTTCTACAAAACATTCTACATTCCCAAATGCATCCGTTGCAGTGTCAGTATGTGAATGTGGGGCCCTTCACTAGGCCTGCCCTGCTCTTGGATCAGGACAGGCCACTCTCGTTGGGCCATGCTCTGCAACAGCTCAGAAGCAGCAGACTCTAAAACAGAACCTGCAGAGCTTAGAGCCAGTACAGAGACTTTCTCTCCCAGCGCTGTAACACTGAGCCAGACACATCACCTGGTCAGCTGACTGAGCGCTGGGTAGGGTGCAAGGGAAAAGCCATGTGGGTTCTGCGTCAGTAACTGAAAGTAGGGTTGGGGGAAACTTGCACAGAGTCTCATAAAGAGCTCCACCGTGGTCATCTTAAGAATTTAATGTCAAGTCACCAAAGCAGTGTCAAAGGGGACAGATGGTTTCCGGAATAAGTCATTAAGTTTTGTATATTCACCTTTGGCCTCAAAGTCAAGGCTAACTATCCCATGGCTGCCACAGCACTCGTTTAACAGGAGACACAGCAGACCTGGACGGGACAACATAAAACACATTGGTGCACAATAAAGGCATGCAAAAGCAAGCATTAGTGGGCAGGCAGAGTCTACAATGAGGTGCAGTTGGGATCATGAAAGTTGGGATTTATTGTCATAAAACCTGTAAAAGTATTTACGCATTAACCAACACATGAATGAACTGTATTTTTTACAGTTTGACTGCAGAAACAAGATCTCTTTTGCAAGGACTCCCAGCGGTAGACTGATATATGAACGCCATTTGTGTTAGCATTTCACGCGGCTTATGCTAACGTTAACCCAATTGAGGGCCGTCTCCTTAAGTAGAGTCCTACGCGGGGCACAGTATGCCTACTACACTTTGAGGTTTAATGTTTCACATTAAAGCTCGGTTTAAACTCGTATCCACCGTAAACATTCGTGTTCATACAACGTTATTAGCTTACAGTAGCCCTTTTAGTGTACTCACGTGCTTGAGGTTGCGCTTTTGTAATCAACAGCTTCCAGAAATATTCAGTTAAGTGTTCAGTCAGTCTTCAGTTTTAGTGACGCTAACGGTAAATTATAAAGCCATTGATAAACTATAGACCGTCATTTCAGCACAGAAATAACTAAAATGTAATAAAGAGCCATCACTTTCAATCTTTGGTACTGATATTTTATCTAATAGAGGACGTTAAGTTATTACACCAAAACCTTGTGAAATACTTACCCTACGTGAGAGTAAACTCAGCGCTCCTCCGCGTAACATGCAAGAAGTGTAAGAGATAGAACGGAAGTCAAGCATAGCTTTATAAAGTGCAGTATGCCGCTGTGCATCATGGGAAAGGAAGCTCTCCCAAAGATCGTCGAACACTAGATGCAGACGTACCACTGCCTCATCTTCCCCTGAACAAGAAAAACGGCGGGAAAATTGGCAAGTAAATGGGGTTTCAAGTCAGAGCAGCTTCCAGTAATGCGCACAGTACAGGACTAATAGTATTTGCATTTTTCAAACTCAGTGTTTATATTTATAGATGACTCCAAAGATCCTGGTACAGGCTGTACAGGTCAGGTGCAGTACTATTATTACTGGCCTGTAGTGGATAGAGGAGATATTATTGCATCTGACAAGTATTATAGCATTAGTATTATTTATAGCATAAGAGGAAGATCATCATTTACCACAGATGTTATACATGATGTATTCTATATAATGTGGCCTACCAGATAGAGATTATGGTTATAGCTACACGCTACCGTTGGGTTTTCTGCCATTTGTCTTTTACAGAGACAAGACAAGATGTGAGGAACCATAATGCAATGTGAATTATGTTCTTTAAAGGTAAAAATATGCATTCGTTTTATGTTATTATCATACCTGCAAACGTGTCGCTTTTTGGCGAAATACGCCGTTTTGAATCAAAATGTCATCCACGTGAACTGTGTAGATCCGTAGAGTTTTTTTTAGGGGGGGGGGGGGGGGGGGGG